AGTTCAGAGTGGATGAGTGACTTGCCCAAGACCACACAGAGTGTGTGGGGCAGGGGTTGAGGTGCCTTCCGAGGTGCAAAAAAAACCACTAGAACCTTTGGAAGCAGCCGGACGGGAGATGTGTAGAGTTGAATCCCGAGTGTATGATCAGGAAAGGGGTATTGGCTGACAGACTCGCATCCCTTCTCCGGGCTTTGGGTCCTGGAAACTCCGGCTCGCTGGGCCTGGGGCCCCGCCAGCTCCAGTAGGTGGGGAGTGCATTCCCAGGGAGCCGAAAGAGCCGGGAAGCAGAAGGTCCCGGACTTCAGAGGCAGGCTAGAGTGGCCACGGCTCCAGCCTACGGTCTTCGTGCTCCGGCGTCAGGGCGCTGCACCAGAGTGTAAGTTCCCGGATCCTCGCGCTAGGCTTTACGGGTCCCTCGTTCTCCGCCAGGATGCATCCAAGACTCCCCGCGCATCCCTGATCTTTCCACTCCAAGAGTCCGCGACACCCGGGCGCGTTCTGCGTCTACCATAGCTTACAGTGCCCTCATCCCCTTGCTCTGAGACAGGAGTAGCTAGAGACCTCTGAGCAACTTTCTCACCCTCCGCGTGTCGCCCCAATGCCAGAAGCTGCCCCCAGCTATCGGATCTCCCCACTGTCGCCGTGTCTCCGCCCAGTCAAACGAAATCGTCCTCGCGTTGGGTCCTTGGATGGGGATGCGGATCATTATGCAGTTTTGGATGCATTTCGGGCTGCTTTTGAAGCGTGTGCCCCACCCGGGGAAAGGCTCAGTGGTACAAACAAGGGGCACGAGGAAGCTTACGGATCGAGGCTGTGACAAACCGACAGACTCCTTCCCAGGCGGGCTGCGAGGCCCGAGCCGCCGGATTCCGGAAGCAGCGAAATCGGCGGCGGAGACAACGAAACTTCAAGAAAGGGGTGTTCGGGAGCTGCGAAGGGAGCGCCAAAGGGATTAGGGGGCGCGGCCACCGCACCCCAACCCCCAGCCTTATGCGCGCCCCTCCCTGGATCCCCGCGAGCGCCGCAAGGCAAAGGCGCAGAACACAGAGGTGTTTTAGGGGTGGAGAGGTGTGGACCGAGGCTGCTCATCCCGGCGTCTGCTAAAAGGAGTAGAGTCGGCAATGGGCACCTCTGCGCCCTCTCTCCCCGGAGCAGGGAACGGAGATATCTGGGTATTCGTGGCTGTGCGGAGGGAGCTGTGAGCCGCTGACCAAGTCAGGCTCCTTCTCCCGGCCTACCTCTCCCGGATACCGAGCAGGAACTCGGTAATTATTTATTGGATGAATGAGCCTCAACGAAGGAACCCACCGGAGTTTCACTACGACCCCTGCCCCATTACTAAGCGACCCCTTCTCAGCATGAGGAAGCCGAAGCTCAAGAGTGGGAAGGCCAATGTTAGCTAAGAAGCCAGTGAGCCAAGGCGCTGAAACTCAAACCGATGTTCACTTGTTTTGCGTTCAGGACTCTCGCTTGATGGCCTTAGACAGATTCTATGAAGCAAACAAGGGAGAGATCAGAGGTGGAGCCCTTCCTATTCCTTCTGCTCCTTCCCTTCGGCACAAACCCTTAGGAGAAGAAGCCAGAAACAACAGAACCAGCAATTAAGAGGTTAAAACACCCCGCTCCTCGGAGGTCCCAGCCTGAGGCCCCTCCCCCGAACTCTTCGCTCCCCCAACATCTGTCCCCCAACAGCTGGCGGCCGCTGGGCCGCTCTCTGCCGCGGTGGGGGGCCGCTTCCCAGCTCAGCGCCTCCCCGGGGACCCTCGTTCTGGGGGAGGGGGTGGGGTCCTCCCGCTAGAGTCCGCCGTCCGAACTTGGGCTCAAGGCGGAAGTAGGGAGAGAAGGCTGCGGGCTTGCCCTAAGTCACACCGGCCCAGCTGGGGACTGGAACTTCAGTAGGCAGCTCCCCCTCCCTTCTAGGCCCAGCCCAGGGCACACTCTGAACCCCACCCCCATAAACGCAAGGAGAGGTAGTTAACCCTTCACTCGCCACTCTCATGGTTCAGAGACAAGAGGGCCAGGGATCCTGGTGACCCGATCCTGGCAAAGTTGCTCCAGTCACTGGATCTCTGAGGCGGTCACTCCTGCCCAAGTACTCCCAGGGCCCACCCAGAGAGAGTCCCATGTCAGAGCACAGTGGGTGCTCACTGTAGGAAGCAGACCAGACTGGGCAAGGACTCTAAGGGCCGGCAGAGGGGGGTCTTTGCCAGTCCATGGGCCCCACCTTGCACAGGAGGCTGCTGACACATCTAGAGAAGAATACTGAATATTTAGACACAGGGATGGTGAGTCAGGCAGCCACAGAGCTCATCCAAGTTCAGCTGCTTATTAGCTGCATGACCTCGACACTCAGGGCTTCAGTTTCTCCTTCTATAATGTAAAGATTATGACAGTATGATACTCAAAGGTGGATCTGAGGATTCAGTAAAATAAAGCAATGGTTCTGGGGTTAGAGAAGAGCTCTTGACAGTGTCTGAACCCCTAACCAGTCCCTCTTCCACAATCTCATGTGACCCTGGGCGTGGCACTTTCTTCTCTCTCGGGACATCTTCTCCCCAGCTATACAATAGGCATGATGCTTTAGGAGGCTGGGGGAGCCAGAAGGGCACTGCAGATCAGTCTCTGCCTGCCTTTGGGGGGCAGCAGCCACAGGGTCAGTGGGTAGGAGGAAGCTGTCTCACGTTTTGATTGCTGAGGACAGTGGAGATGTGAATGCCACAGAAAGGAATGCTATTTTTCCCCAGAACTTTTTCCCCTCCACTTCTTGGAAGAAAATGGAAAAATGGTCTTAATAACAACAACAAAAAAGTGAAAAAATTAAAAGCAGTACATATTTTCCTAGTGGTAATTTTTTTTCTGCCAGATCTCAGAGAGTGAGAGGAGGTGGCAATCTGATTGAATCCACAAAGGTTGGTGAGGTCCCTGTTTGGATAGTGTTGGAGAAACTGAGGCAGAGAGGCCCAGCAACTTCATTGAGGGCATACAGCCAATAGAAAACCAACCCCTTCCAACAATGCAAAGCCAAGAGCAGCCCTGGTCCTCCAGACTCTCCCAGGATCTGCAGCCTCCTGCCCCAGTGAGCTTGGAGTGCCTTCCTAACTTCTAGATTCCTAAGCACCCAACTTCCAGTTCTGCCAAAAGAGACTGAAGGGGGATCTACAGGCCGGTGTCATGATGGAGGGGCAAGATGGGGAGTAGAACCAAGAACAAATCCTTCCCTGGGGGATAAGACTGAAAGGCAGAGGACCTCAGAAGCCACCAGCGCCCCCTCCAGGGGTCTCAGCCACTTCTTCCCTCTCTGCATCCTGTTCAGAGATCTTGGCCTCTCTTTGGGGTGAGTACTCCAGTCCATTTCCCAGCAGACCCTTGACCTTGGGCTTCAGGAAACAGAGGGCTAGAGAATCTTAGCGCATGAGCTCCAGCTCTAGAGAGGGGCTCTGCCTTCCATGACTCCACCACCACCAGGAAGAGCTCTCTTTCAGCTCTCTCCAGGAAGAGCTCCCTTACAGCAGCCACCCAGAGCCTGGGGTGCCACTCAGAGCAGACAATAGTCTCTGCCTGGAGCTCTGACTGCTTTTTTCTCTCCTTTTTGTGGGTTTTATTATTTTTGTTACAGGTGGGGCTTCCAGGGATGAGTTATGCCCTCAGGGAGACCTGGCTGGGGGAGAAATGATCAGAAGAGCCACAAGACTTCCTTCATCCCAGGGAATGCCAGCTTTTATTCCCTCCATTTTCTTAACCAAAAATCTGTTTTAGTTTTGCTTTTGGGGTTCTTGTCACTGGAAAAGGATTCATGCTCAGAACCTGCAGCCCAGAAACAGCCCAGCCCACCCCTCGTCCCCAAACTGTCTGAGGAAATAGCAACAGAGGATCGTGCCTGGAATCCACCCAGCCAATGGTGACAATGGTGACACCCATAACACCTACCAGTTAGGGAGCTTCTACTGACCCTTCTTCCTTTCACTGGTCTCCTTGACAGCTCATAGAGAGAACCCTGATTGTAGGACATGGAGGGCAGAGAGATGCAGTGATTTGCCCAAGGTCACACAGTGATTCAGCACTGGCCAGTTGAGCCCTGTCTCTGTGTCTCTCTGCAACAGCTGCACCAGTGGGAAGAGGGACTCTGCATTCAGTGGAGGCGCTGAATAGTGGGGTCTGGATCTGAGTTTGACTAATCCTTGAAGATCTAATAAAGCACATCAACCAAGGAGGCCTGTCCAGACCGGGCATGAGACACAGCGAGGACATGTGGGCAAGTGACTCACAGGGCTGTCAGGTCCGTCATCACCAGGAGGGCCAGGAGAGGGGTCTGGGCCTGCCTTCCTCTACAGGAAGAGGCCTGCTGCATTTCCCAGGCCGGAGACCTGTCCCTGGCTAGCTGATGAATCCAAGGGGCCCTGAAAGAGCAGCTGGCTTGTTTTTGTTGTTGTTGTTGTTGTTGTTTTAACCAACTGAAGTCAGACCTAGAGCAGGGAGCTGGCTACACAGAGACTCTAAGCTCCATTTCCTGCCTTGGCCAGCTAAGAGTTAGATGAGACAGCAGAGGAGAGATGTGACACTCTGGTTTCACATCACACAATGATAATCCTGCCCTCCACCACACACACCACAGCCCACAACCACAAATCCACATTCACGTCAAACCTTTGAGCTCTCAGTGCCTGAATTAAGACCATAAGCAGAAATGCCCCCTCAGAGGAGGAGTGTGTGGTGGGGTGCAGAAGGACAGGATTTCGAATCATCACCCTCTCACCTCTGGATCACAGTCCAGATGTAATCTTGCTCTGACACACAAGGTCCCAACATCCACACAGACATGTATTCCTGACACTCACACATGAACATGAACATGCTTGTTGTAAAGGAACGCTCATGCTGTCCAAATGCCCCTCACCCTGCTCAGTGACACCCCCAACGTCCCCCCTCCCCAGCCCCTCTGCACAGATCGGGACAAGACAGACACAATACCCTCCTTGCACACAAAGTCCTAGGCCACCTGGCAGAACCGCCCCTCCCCATGCACACCCCAGCGCACATCCTTTTACACCCATGTACCAAAGAAGAGTCCAGTTCTTGTACCAGGCTTCCTAAGGTTTCTTCAGAGCACCTCAGCCTCCAATGCTGCAAACTCCCCTGGGAGTCAAGGTCCTCTCTTTCCAAGCTCCTAGATACTCAATGCCAGGAGTTGGGGGGCGACATTGCCTTCCACCACACTCCCTGACTCAGGGGATCAGGGGATCAGGGGATCGTTCTGGGGCTGGGGTCTTCCCAGGAAGACTGAAGCCATGGCCTCTCCTGAGGCCAGGACCGGAAGGATGTCTGCGGACTGAGCGGTGGTGGTTATAGAGGAGTAGCTTTCTCCACTTCCTGAGAAAGCCCTTGGGAACAGGCGTCCCTCCCAGGAACCAATCCCACTCCACTCTCTTCTCACTCCATAGGCCGGATGGCCCGGCTTCAGGCCTGCTTCATGCTTCCCCACCGGGAGCAGGCAGGCTGCCGCTACTCCTCTGACCTCGCAGTGACCTCGACCCCATGACCAGGTCAGGCTTGAGCCGCGTGGTGAGAAGAGAGGCTCGTGCAAGCGGTTCAGAGATGCGGCAGGAGGGTGAGCCCGACTGCGGTCTAGAGGGGCCGGGACGCGGCACTGCGGTGGGGAGAGCTCAGCCCAGGGTGACCCTACTCAGGACCCTGGCTGAGGCGCCCAACTCACCCTTCCTGTCCCGGTGGCCCAAAGTCAGCGCCTAGACCCGGGAGAGGCTGAAGCCGGGTCCGAAAGGATGACGGAGCTGGAACAGGCGCCTGGGACCCAGACAGGACCCCAGGCTGGAAATTACTACACTCGAGCGACGCGGGGGTAGAAGCTGAGGCGCAGCTGGAGACTGAGGTCCGGGGTTAGATTGAGGCGCTTGAAAATAGGTTTGGATCCGAGTCTAACGCGAAGGAGAGTGCTTGGGGCCAGAGCAGACTCGAATCCAGCCTCGAACCCGGCCGGGATCAGAGCGAGGGAAAGATTCTGGAGCCCAGCTCAGGGTCCTGCCCGGGAGAGACGCAGGCATGGCTGGAGTAGCAGTAGGGTTGGAACCGACAACCGGAGCGCACCGAAGTTGCAGCCAGATTGTGGCTGGGATACGAGCGGGTCGGGGCCAGAGCTGGGGACATCAGAGCTGGACCAACGCACTGGAAGTCGGAACTGGAGCCTAAGACTCGGGCAGGACCCGAGACGGAGCCAGAGACGCGACCAAGACAGAGTGGGCCACAGCAACCGGAGGCGGGTCACCTGTCCGAACCTGTGCGGGCACAGGCACCGGGGCTGCAGCTTCTGGTTCCTGACGCTGGGGGCCGGAGAGCTGGGCCCGCGCGGCCGCCAGGAGTGCACTCGGGACATGCGGGCTCGGGAGTCAGAGACACGCGCCACACAGGCGGTCTTCGCGCGTGCCGGGGACCTGCCTGCGGCGAAATTGCTGGCCCAGCGGCTGCAGCCTACCTGAAGTAGTCCATCTTGCAGAAGATTTCCTTGTTCTTGATGTAGCAGCTGTTTTGCTGCCTCAGCGACGTGCGACACACGGAGCACTCGAGGCACCGCACGTGCCAGATGAGGTTGTTGACCTGGGGAGGGTGTGGAGGTGGGGGGCGTCTCAGCGCCAGCCTCTTCTCACACCCGGCCCCAGCCTCCCCTACCCCATTTGCAGACAGAGACGCTGGGGCTCTGAAGGTGCATGGGACTTCTCTACTTTCCTTCTGTAACGCTGAAGCTCCGGGAGGTAGAAATAAACTCTGCACTCTGCCCATTTTTCAGACTGGAACCCGGGGGCACAGAGAGACCCTAAGATTTGCCCAAAGCTGCGAAGTCAGGCAGCGGCTAAGCCAGGATTCGAAATTCAGCGCTGCTTCCCTGTAGTCCTCTGGGTTACAACCCACACCCTCCCAACATCCTGCCCCTGTCTCACCTTGAGCAGATATCGGTCCAGGATCTCGAGGCCGCAGCTGGAGCAGATGTTCTTGCCGGCGGACGGCACGGAGGAGGCGGCAGAGGGCGGTGAGCAGACAGATGGCGTGCTGGGCGTACAGGGAGAGGCCCGACCCTCGTCCTTGTCCAAAGCGCCTGCCAAAGCCTCAGCATCCGACTGAGCCTGCAGTAGGGGAGAGAGGGAGAGCCGAGCGTTGAGCTGAGGGCTGAGCCGGGTGCCCAGAGTTGCTGCTGTCTCGGAGAAAATCTGCGGCCCAAGCGAACCAACTGACAACGAAATCCCCCCGAGACGACAAGTCACGGGCTACAGGACAGGAAAGGAAGAGCCTACTGGAGAGGAAAGGACGGCTCCAACTTTTAGCACGCGCGTCCTAGATGCCAGAAAGCGGTCAAAGCTCACATTCCTGGCCAGAAAACCGAGGCTCGGAGAGGGGCGGCGCCCTCCGGGAGTCCCCTAGCACACAAGCAGCCGTTCGGGGCCGGAAAGCTGGGTCATTTCCCCAGGGCCCGGCCGCCGGGGGGACCAGGGACCGAAGGCAGGCCGAACGAACTCACCATGGCGGGCGGCGCGGCCCTTCAAGGCAGCGGGTGGTCGCTTTGCAGCCGGACCCTGGCTGGGCCATCACCTGGGGGAGGGGGGAGGGAACGCAGGCGGCGGCGGCTGCAGAACTGGCTCCGCGCAGCCTGAGCCCAGCGCCTCCCCGCGCCTGTTATATAAACCCGCGCGGAACAATGAGTCCTAACTTTGTAGTGGGCATTTAAAGCCCTTCCCCACAAAAGCGGTGTCTCTCTAATGAAGCAATTTGAATTTGGATTGGATTTTTTCCCTCTCTCTCCCCCTCTCCCTGCACTTAACCCGTGGCTCTTGAAGTAATCGCTTAGTTCCCTTGCAATCCAAGCCTCTGAGGGGGAAAAAAAACACGCGCACACACACAAACTACCTGCAATTAGAAATTGTCGTGAATGCCCAAGATAAGAGGTAGCCAGAGTGTCAATTCCAACTGTCAATCAGTGAGATCCATCAGGCCGCCCAAAGAATTGCAAATTTGATTTTTTAATGGTAGTAATTAAAAATCGAATTTTTTCTTCTTCCACCCACCCCCCTTCCTAGCTCCCTTCTCCTCCTCTCGACACAAAATGCAAAAAGGAGAAAAGAGAAAAAGAAAGAAAATAAAAAAGAGATGGGGGGTGGCGTTTGGTGAAAATAAAATCCGAAGCGCTGGGAACATCAGCTCGACCGCGTCCGCCCCGCGCCCGCGGCGAAATAGATGCGGGGATACTGACGAAGATTCAGGCGCCTTTCGAGGGCCAGTCGGAGAGAAACCCAGAGCAAAACGGGGGCTAGATTGGGGTCGAAATGGGACCAAAAAGAGAACACGCAGACGTTGAAGAGGAGGAAAAAGCACCCTCCAGCCCCTCGGAGCGCCCGGGACCGGGTCCGTGCCGCGATTCTCAGCGTTGCGTCCGCACAACCCCCGGCGCATCGGCGCTATCAGCGCCTATTCAGACGGACAATACCCGCCTCGCCTCCTCTTGATTCGCCTGTGTCTTTGCTAAATCGCTTTTTGAGAAATTCCTCCAACATTTGCATAATGTGT